GGGGGGATCCAAAAAAGTAACATAATAAGGGGGGGGGGGGGGGGGGCGCCTCGCTCTGGCGGACGCCTCGCCGGCCCGCCCCTCCTCTCGGCCGGCGGCGCGCCAGTTGCAGCAGCCGGAGCCGAGCTCGAGAAGAACGACGCCCGCAAAGTAGAGCGGGAAGCCTGCGAGAGGAGTGAGTCATTCGCTCAGAAGTCATCTACCGGTGATGAAACAGAATGCAAAGGAGAGCCTGCGAGACGAGGGGGGGGGCGCGGCCCGAGAGAGAGGAGGGTGGGTGCGAGTGGGCGGGTCGGGGGGAGCGGGGGGGGGGCTCGGGGGGAGCGGGGGCGGGGACGGAAGGAGCGCGCCGCGTGGTCGTGTGAAGATAGCCCAAAAGTGGCAGACGAGGCAGGCGGCGTGGTGCGCGACGAGCAGGGCGGAGGCGGGCACGAAGAGGAGGTCGCAAATCATAAAGGCGGCGAAGACGGTGCAGAAGGACACCTCCGACACCGCCGTCAGCACCGGCCGCTTGAGGGGCGAGCCCACGCCGCCCTCCGCCTCGGCCGCCTTGAACTCCGCCCGCTCCGCCGCGCTGAACCCCGCCGCCGCCAAGTGCGCGCCTACGCTGGCCGCGAGCCGCTCGGCCGCGTCGAGGCCCTGGTCCCGCACCTCCGCCGCCAGCCGCGACCCCTCCGCCGCCAGCCTCCCCCCCGAGGCGCGCCCCTCTGCGACGAAGCGCTCCGCCTTTTCGCGCCCCTCGAGGGCTAAGTGCCGCCCCTCCGCCACCAGCCGCTCCGCCGTCTCGCGCCCACCGTGCGCTATCCGCTCGGCCGCGCCGCACGACTCGGCCGCCATCCGCTCCAGACGCAGCTTGAGCGCGGCGGCGTCGCTCTGCGCCGCGAGCCGCTCGAGACGCTCCCTCGCCTCCTCCGCCGCGCCCTGCGCCGCGCGCACCGCGGCGCGGAGCTGCTCGTGCAGCCGGACCCGCTCCCACCCGCCCATCGAGCGGCCCGCGCTCAGCCACGCGACCAGGAAGATGGCGGGGAGCAGGCACAGCTGGTTGAGCGTGCCAAACGCGCACCTGCGTGGCGGCGGCGGCCCTGGTGAGCGGGGCGGCGGCGCGAGCGCGGGCTGCGAATCTGCTCGCGCGCCGCCAGCGCGGCGAGCCCTCGACATCGTCGTCGCCAAACATCACCTGCATCCCCTTTGCACCGAGCCAGAAGAAGGTGAGCCACGATCCGCATGAGATTCCGATCACCGCGGCGTATCCGTACGTGGTGAGGGGCAGGACGCTCGCCGTGGCCATCGGCATCAGAGGCGACACGGGCGGAAGCCCTGTGGCGGGCGGACGGATGGACGGCGTCAGCGCTCTCTGCAAACGGCGCGGCTGCAGGCCGCGGCAGTCACCGAAGGATCCAACCCGCCGGGGGCTCGCCGCAGAAAGAAAGAAAGAAAACCAATGGTGGAAAAAACCGAGCCATGACAGCCGCGGCGGGCAACCGCTGCGCCCCTAGCCACGTTCGACTCGTCCACACCGCAGGATTGCGAGCGCTACTGCTCGCAATCGGAGGCATGTTGCTCGGATTGTGAGCAAAGCTGCTCGCAATCTTCCTAGACTTTGCTCGGATTGCGAGCGCGCTGGTAGTAGTCGTAGGCGTCACCCGTCACCTTGGTAGCGGAGCTGCTCTTAGTCCTAGAAGATGTGTAGGATTGCGAGCGTGGGTGCTAGCAATCGTACAGAGATGCTAGGAAGACGAAGCACGCCTCTTCCTCTCGCACGATGCTACGCTTGCGAGGAGTGCTGCTCACAATCCTTCGACTTCTAGGATTGAGAGCGAGGCTGCTCTCAATCCTAGCCGTCTAGAAAAGAAGGTTCACCAGGACTTGTCCACAAACCTCTCCGCGACACATCCCAACAACACCTCTCTCTCACATCCCAAACAGGGATAGGGGAGGACGAGGACAGGAAGGGTCCCCACCTGCACGAGCAGGATTTTGGAAGGACGATCAAGGGCACAGGTGGGGCTCTCCTGCTCCTGACAAGGGACACTAAAGGTAGGTAGAAAGGGTTTCCCTGCGGGTTTTCTCGTTTCAATCATCCCCATCCAGTGCGCGCCAAGGGAATGAGCGAGGCTTCCCCTGTTCTTTTGTCTTCTCCTTCTTCTACTACTTGGCGCGACCTGGTCGATCAGTACTTCGGCTCCGCCAACGAGCTCGCGTCCACTTTCGCGCTCGTGCTCAGCGCAGGCCCACCGCCCGAGACGGAACCTCATCAAGCGGCGACATCACCGAGCAGCACAGGCATCCGGCTGCCGGATGACCCCGATGCGGCTTGCGGCCTCAGTAATTTGCCATCGGACGCCCTCGACCACATCCTCCTCCACCTCGGCGCCCGCGATCTCACAAACGCTGCGCAGGCCTGCCGCACGCTCTTCCACGCCTCCGCTGCCGACGCGCTCTGGGAGCCGCTCTTCTGCCGCTCCTTCGCGCCGCTCTGCTCGCTCCTCGGACTGGCCGCGGCCGCGCCGCGCCACGGCGAGCGGTGGCGAGAGCACTACTTTGAGTTTTGCGGCGACTGGGCCGAGCGCGCCTATCGCACTGCCGGGCGTGTCCTGCTCAAGGCTCGCACCTCACCAGCCCTCGCCCCGAGCCTCGCCCTCATCCAACTACCCACGAACACAGCGGTGTCACGGAGTCGAGGTGTCGCTCCCGCCTCACGCCGGGACCTTGCCGCAGATCGACGGGGCGTGGCACGACGCGACACCCATGCTCTTAGACCACCCGGGAGGGCCGGAGCTGCTCGCCGCGTCTGCCGGCCGCGACGCGACGCAGGCGTTCGAGTACACCAACCACTCGGACGATGCGCGGCGCCAGCTGCGCCGGCTGCAGCTCGAGGCGCAGCCGCCCTCTGGCAACCTACTCGCCTCCACGCAGCGCAGCGACGCGCGGAGGCGCGAGGCGAGGCGCGCGCCGGCGCTCACGTCGCACCGCCAGACTCAGTGCATGCAGATGCTGCAGCGCTGACGCGCGCGGCGCTGAAGAGGCCCGCAGCACGGGGCGGCCGCCCGGCCGCCCACGCGCCACGCCGCCCAACTCCCCTTGCCTTCTTGAGGAAGGCACGGGAATTGATGATTTATATCCAAAGAGTTCGTGCCTTGTTATCAAAAAGTAAAAAGGAAGAAGGCGCGCGCCTTTTCTTTTCCCTCGATTTCCTGGCGAATAGCAGTGCGGCGCAGCTTCCACGCACTTTGTTGCAGTCAGCACCCGCACACCCAGGGCCGGGGAGCTAAGCTTGCATTTCAGGCACTTGGGAGTGCGGTCATCAGCCTCACAACCGGGGCCGAGTTGCTAAGAAGCGCACTCGCACTTGGAGGAACGATATGGACCAGCAAGCGATCCTCGCGATGTGCCGCGCGAAGACGTCCGGCTCGAGTATTGCCACGGGCGTTCTTGAGGACAGAGCGACAGCATTCTCGCTAATATACCAGCGGCGGCTCTGGGGCACCGGCGAGTCTGCGTCGGGACCTGGGAGCAGTGTAGCGAATGCCCAAGGCGCCGCCCGTGCAGTGGCGGAGGTGGTCCGTTCGAATGGCGTGAAGAGCCTGATCGACGTTGGCTGCGGCGATCTGAACTGGCTGGGCCCAGAACTCGCCTCGTTCCCACTTCTCCACGTCACTGCCATCGACATCGCGGCCGCCGCCTATGCCTCGGCGTCGGCGGACCCGCGTTACGCGGCGGTCGCCTTCCGGGCGCACGACGTGGTGGCCAGTCCGCTGCCCGTGGCCGCCGAGCTTTTGCTATGCCGGCAATGCCTCAACCACATGAGCGCCGAAGACGCGGTCCGGGCACTGAGGCACATCGCGCAGAGCGGGGCGCGGCTGCTGCTCCTCTCACACTACGCGCGGGGCGACAACTCCGCCGAGATGTTGACCGTCGGCGTCAAGTATCGCTCCTGGAACCTGCAGCAGCCGCCTTTCTCGGACCTCCTCCCGCCGCCCGAGAAGTGCTTTGAGGACGAGTACAACGAGGAGCAGCGCCCGAACCCGATGGTGCTCGCCTTGTACCGGCTGGGGCTGCAGTGAGCTGTGCGCGGTGAGGGTCCGCCCGCGGGCGCGAAAAGAAAGAAAGAAAACAGGCAACCCAAGGGAGGGATGGGAGGACGGTACGCCGCCACCACACAGGGATTTTAGGGGAGAAGTGTGGTGTTAGCCGTCGCCCACCCTCGGGCGTCTACCACTTCCTATCTCTTTCCGCAGTTTATCACCAATTCTTGGGCGCGAGAGCGGTGCGAAACACAAATTTCTTTTTTTGAGGTTCGTCGCTCAAGGCCCCCCCGCCGCTCTCTATTCGCTTCTCAAAAAGGCCGGCCGGCCGCTCTTCTTCTCAAGGAGACAAGGCCCCGGCCGCTCTATTCGCTTCTCAAAAGCCGGCCGGCCGCTCTTCTTCTCAAGGAGAGAGACGATGGGCGCCGGCGGACGTTCCCGCCTGACATTCGACGAGACCAGCGCGCCACCGCTGCAGCCGCAGCCGCGCAAGGCGGCTCAGGGTAACTCTGACGCCGGGAGACGGCGTTACGCTTGGGCGGGCATCTTCTTCCTCTTTGCTGTCGCGGCGCCGTGCGCCCGCCCGTCCTGGGAGCTGGTGTCGCAACTCATCTCGCTGGGTGGCACCGGCGAGCAGCAGGCCTCTCGGGGCAAGGTGCTCCTGGGTCCTCAGAGCCTCGCGCACGGCGGCCGGGTCGTGCTCGAGAGACCAGAGGGGCTGCGGCACCCGATCCTGCGGATCTCGGCCGGCCACCGGTTCGACGAGGACTCGGTGGCGGACGCGCAGGCCTTTATGACGCGCGTGCTGCGGCAGCGGCGCGCCTTCACCGTCGAGTGGGACCCGCGTGGCATCACCTGGCCGAGGCTGTCGCAGGGGATGATGCGGCGCGTGCACGACTGGGTGGAGCAGCACGTCAAGGCGTGGGACACGCACGTCCAGGCGCACGTCGTGCTGGTCCGCAACCCCATCGCACGGCAGCTCGTCCGCCTGCTGCAGCGCGTCTTCCTCCCACCACAGCCGACGGCGATCGTGCGCGACGAGGTCGAGGCGCTCGCCTTCGTGCGCTCGTGCTGCTCGGGACGGCCGCGCTCCTACGTCAAGTCGAAGCAAGAGTACGCTAGCCGAGACGCGCGATTCGCCCTCTCGTCGTCGTCTTAGCCATCTGCCAGGCCAACTCGCGGCGAGGCCGGGGAGCGCCTGTGCGATCCGTCCGCTCTCTCCGCTGAGCGCCTTTGCCGCGCGTGATGCAACCGGCGCCAACACGCGCGCATGCTCCCAGCCAATGCTGCAAAGGGGCAGTTCTGAGAGACTCTTCTTTTCAGTCTTGTGTGTGACGCGGTGTTCGGGTTGCGGTTGGTGTAGATTTATGACGGGCTGCGCTGACCTCGAAAAGCCGAGAAGAAAAAAGACACAAAGCGAAAACAGTCAACGCAAGGGAGGGACTGGATGCGGATGGGAGGACGGCACGCCGCCAGCGCCACCACACAGCTCACAGGGATTTTAAAGCCGAGAAGAAAATTAGGAAAGAAAACGCCTCACAGGTTTCTTTTCGTGGTGTACCTGTGTTAGTGCCAGTGCACGCCAGTCCCCAGTGTTGTGCGAGATGCTAAAATTCTTTTGAGCTTAGCCTTCGATGTTATGAAACAACGCAAGGCGGACATGGCATATCGCTCTCGGGCTCACAGACATCCCTCACACCCGCCGCACACCCGCCGCCCCCGCGCGCGCCCCACCCCGGCCGGGAGAAAGGGGAGTGACAGTTTGGGACTCGCAAGCCCGAGTATGTTGAGTCCTGGCTCAACAACGCAGATAACAAGAGGGGGTGGTCCGGCTCACAGGTCCGGCTCACGCGCCTCGAGCTCGCCATCTACCGCACTGAACACTTCCGCCCCCTCGCTCCCAACCCATCCACCCCGCCCCGGGCCGCGCCGCGCGATCTCGGGCGATCTCGCGCTATCTCGGGCGATCTCGGGGCCGCGCCAAATTCTTTTCGTGCGGGACAACGCGGCGGGCTACACTCTGCCCCGGCTGTTGTTCGTCAATGTCCGACTCTGCTTTCCGGCCGCGAAGAGCACAGATGCGTGGCACCTCTTTCCCACGCGTTCCTCCCTGCCAGCTGCGCCCGACGCTGCCGAGGGTGCAGGACGGCCGCAGACTGCTGCTCGCGATTGGTGTGATCACGAGCCCCGGGCTGCCCTTCCGGCGCACGTTCCTGCGTGCTGCACTCATGCGCTTCGAAGAACCGCAGATTGTCCAGCGCTTTGTTGTCGGCTGCATCATGAAGAACACATCTCAAATCCAGCAAGAGATTCTGCGGCACGGCGACATCGTTGTGACGGGGAAAGCTGACGAGACGGGCGCTGCGTGTGTCGAAAAGTCCTTTGGGTGGTGGGCGCTCGCGGTGCACGCCTTTCCTGCGGCCAGCTTCCTCGCAAAGACGGACGACGACTCGCTCAACCTCTATGGCAACCTCGCCGACATCCTGAGAGCACGCTCGCTGGTCGCATCTGGCCGGATGCTGTACGTGGGCTGGCCGCAGTACGCGTCGTTCCTGCCAGAGTACAACGTGCCGTGCGGATGGTCGGGCGGGCCGAACGGCGCTCTGAGCCGCGGTGGGTGCAACGTCTGCAAGAACCACCACTTTTGCTACGTGCGCGGCGTCTCGACCGGCGAGCCGATCAACGCGTCCACTCGCGGCCCCTTTGTTTTTGCGACGGGCGCCCTGCAGGTGCTCTCGCGACCGCTGGCGGCGCGCACCTTCACGGGGCCGCACGCGGCCGAGTTCGTCCGCCGCGCCTCGCTCAGCCGCAGGGAGCGCTTCCCAGACGAGCGCAACCACTTGCCGTGGGCGAAGCCGTGGTGGGAGCCGTGGGAGTGCCAGTTCGAGGACCTGACGGTACGCGAGATATGGGGAGATGTGGGGAGATGTGGGGCGATTTGGCAGCCGTGGGAGTGCCAGGACCTGACGGTACGCGAGATGTGGGGAGACGTGGGGAGATGTAGCCGTGGGAGTGCCAGTCCGAGGACCTGACGGTACGCGCTCGCGACACACGCCTGTGCGACACCGCAACCCTGTGCGTCGGCGCGTCCGAGCGGGCGACGACGCGACATGCGCGCCCCGCAGGTGGGGTACGCCATCTTCGAGGCCTCGCAGGCCCTCAACTTGTCGGTGGACTTTGTCGCGCTGAGCGACATGGTCCCGCGGGGGGGGGCTAGCGCCCGAACGAGCCAGCTGCGAAGGCCGCGTCGTGACGGGTCGAGCCGTGAACAGGTGGGCGACGCGGGCCCGACGGTGCGCGAGCTGGCCACGCAGGCGACGTCCCGCGCGAGGGCTCGATGAGTGGAGCCGCGCCGGAGCCGCGCCGGAGCCTTCGTGTAGGTGACAGTGCACAAGCTCGAGCTCGAGCCTTCTAGGAAGTGTCTAGGAAGTGTCTAGGAAATGTCTAGGTGACGGTGCACAAGCTCGAGCTCGAGCCTGCCCGACTCGCGGCGATGGCGGCGCACGAGGCGGAGCTCAACCGCAGGAGGCACGCGCAGGAGGTGGTGCGGCAGCAGCGCGAGCGGTGCGCGTGAGGAGCACGCAGAGAGCGATACGTAGCGGAGCGCCCGCCCCCCCCTTACCAGGCCCCTCTACGCTCACAGGTGGATGCGTCGCCTCCGCCCGATGCTCGAGCGGCTCAACGCGAGCACGCGCGCGCCGCGCCGTGAGTGGGTCTGCTACGGGCGAGAGTCGTTTGCGGGGGGCAGCGCGCCCGAGGGCCGGCGCGCGAGACACGAGCGGCTGCTGATCGCGCAGCAGCAAGGGCCCGAGTCGGCGGCGGTCTCCAGGGCGCAGGCGGGACAGGAGCGGGCGGCGCGCGCCTTTGTTAGCGGGCTGGCGACCGCGGCGCAGGGGTGGAGGCTGTGCCTCCTCTCCGTGCAGGACGAGATGCGCTTGCGCGCCGCGCCGGTGATTGACCTCGGGCCGTGAGAGAGAGTGGTGGCGGCCCGTGAGAGAGAGTGAGAGTGTGAGAGAGAGAGAGAGAGAGAGTGAGAGAGTGAGAGTGAGTCGTGGTGAGAGAGAGAGAGAGAGAGAGAGAGAGAGAGAGAGAGAGAGAGAGAGAGAGAGAGAGAGAGAGAGAGAGAGAGAGAGAGAGAGAGAGAGAGAGCGGTGAGAGAGTGGGGGCGAGAGAGAGACTCAAAGAAAAACGCTCGGGATTCCAACACGCAGCAGCGACACGCCTGCGACAGGATTCGCTGGCTCACAAGCACAAGCATCGGCTCAAGCACAGAGAGACAGCGCCGCCCACACGATGCTGCTATCGCTGCTCGGCGCTCCCTGGCTTGCGCCCGGCCCCTCCTCGGCGCGGCTCGCTTCGCCGGCAGCCATGCAGCTCCAGGGCGGCTCGCTGCGCACCTGGCACTCTCCCGACCCGTGGGCGGAGGAGGGCGACTTCTTTCTCGGCACGGAAGGACGGCCGATGGACGCAAATGTCGAGCTCTGGTCGGGGCCGGACAACACGGCATTTCGCATGCGCGTGTATGGCGAGAACGGCAACCTCCGCCCCGTTCGCGGCACAGTGGGGATGCGGGGGCGGCACCCGAGGTCCAACGCGATTGCCGTTCGCAATGCCGGCCCACTCGAGTTTCCAATGTCGGACGTCGGCGTCTTTGGAGGCGGGGCGGAGCAGCCGTCGATCGAGTGCCTCGAGTCCGCCTCGACCGTGCAGGGCGGCTCTCTGAGGACGTACCCTGTCGGCCCTTACGTTGATGCCGTGCAGGTGCTGCTCCGGAGCGACGGCCTTCCCGTCAATGCGACCATCGAGATCGTGCAGGGCCCAAACACCAACCGGCAGGGCATCGAGCTGTACACGGACGACGGGCGCGAGCGGCCCATCTTTTACATTCTCGAGACGCCCGGCTATGGCAGGTGTCTCTCTCGCTGCCTCTGCCGCCACCGGTGCTCTCAGCCTGCGCCTCGCCCGCCTCACGCCTGCCCTCCTCCCCGCTCCGGCAGCGTGGTCGAGGTGCGCAACACTGGCCCGCTGGAGTTCCCGATTGCCGCCTCGGTCGTGCCGCACTCGGTCGGCATGGCTGACGAAAGCTTCGGCGGAGGAGGATACGGCCGAGGAGGCTACGGCGGCGGCGGTGGCGGCGGCTACGGCGGCGGCGGCGGCGGCGGCGGCGGCGGCCGCTACGGGGGAGGCCTGGGCGGGATGCGCCCGATGGGTGGCATGGGCGCGCCGCCTCTCATCACTCTCGCGCTCTTCCCTCGCTCTCCTCACGCCTGGCTGGCTCTGTTCAGGCGGCGGCATGACGATGGGCGGCATGATGGGGATGGGCCAGATGGGCGGCGGCATGGGAGGTGGGGCTGTAGCCGCGCAGCCTCCGAGCGTCGAGCGGTCTCGCCTCTCTCACTCCTCCCGCCCTGTCGTCGGTAGGCATGCCCCCCCCGCGCAACCGGGCCGAGGCGAGGATGCAGGCCCGCGCATTTGGGATGGGCGGGGGAGAAGGGAGGGGAGGGGCGGGCTTCGGACCGGGCGGCAGAGGTGGGCCCCGCGGTAACTGGCAAGGTGGAGGCATTCCGTTCCGTCCGCCGCCTCCGTACTAGCTGGTGCGGCTGTCGTGGGAGTGGGTTTTTGTGCGGTGTGCGCAGAGTGCCGTTGGCGCGGGCAGCGGGGGCACGATACATGGATATAAATAAACAAAGACTTTTCAAGTCTTTCACGAAAAGGAATCGACGCGATGTGCGCAAAGCATGTACAAAAGAAGAGGGGAGAAGGAAGACGGAGGACGCCGGTGGTGACGAAGCAGAAACTAGCGCAGACGGCACGGGACTGGCGCGCGCACTGGCACTAACACCGAAAAGAATTTTCTTTGTTTATTCTTTGCGGGTGAAAGAAACAACAAAATCAAGGATGATGGCTTGAGCAGCTTGCACGGGCACTGCGAGTGGGCCACTGCGCACTGGCAATGTGGCAAAGTAATTGTGACGTCCTGTGTCCTGTGTACACACAAGAACGGCTGTAGCTCTTAGCGCCTAGGGTCGCCGCCTAGGCCAGCATCCGCGACGCCGACTTCGACACGAAGCCTCGGCAGCCAGGGCAGGCCGTGTTGATCGGCTCCATGCCGCAGCTCGTCTCGACCTCGCTGTCGTCGTTGAGCCAAGTGTGCAGGCAACGGTAGTGGAAGAGGCTCTTGCAGCAGCGCGTGGCGCCCCAGCCGTTCGGGTCGCGCGGCTGCAGGCGCGCCTCGGGGTGTGAGCTGAGGTCGTCGAAGCAAATGACGCACTCGAGGGCCTCTTCTGCTGCTGCAGCCGCGGACACGCCCGCAACTGCGGCAGCCGCCTCCACCTCCATCTCCACCTCGCTATCGCTCTCCTGCTCTGCCTCCACCTCCACCTCGTCGTCGCATGGCGGGGCAGCACACGCCGCTGCTGCAGCCTCCGCCCTCGCCGCCTGCTCTGCTGCGCGCGCCCGCCGCCTCGCCCTCTGCTCGCTCGCGGAAGGCGGCGGGTCGGAGAGCAGCGAGTTGGCCACGGCGTCGGCAATGTCCGCCGGGTCGAAGCCGTCCTCCTCCTCGTAGCTGCTGGCCTCGGACGGCCCTGCTGTGCCTTGCGGCGGTGCTTGCTGCGGCTGCGGCTCGAGCAGTCGGACGGTCGTGTCCCACAGGTGCCGCGCGCGCGCCAGTGCCGCCTCCTCGGCGGTGGCGAAGCGGCCGAGAAAGTTCTGCTTGCCGCCAACCCTCATGTGCAGATGGTACTTCTTGCTGCGTCGCTCCTTCGGGTAGAAGGTCACGCCCCTGTAGCTGCTGTTGCTGCTGCTGCTCGTAGCCAGTGTAAGGCCCTCCCTCCCCGCCTGCTGAACAGCTGCGGCGCCAGCGGCAGAGGAAGGAACGGGTGGCGGCGGCGGCGGCGGCGGCGGCGCGGTGAAATCGCTGGTGTCCCTGCCCGCCTCCCTGCGGGCGTAGAAGAGCGCCGCCTGCTCGGCGGTGGCGAAGACACCGAGGGTGACATTCCTGCCGTCAACCCACACCGACAGCTTGTACTTCTTGCTGCTTCGCTGCTTCGGGCAGAAGGTCACGCCTTTGTAGCCTGTGCTGTTGTTGCTGCTCGTAGCCAGAGTCAGGCCCTCCCTCTCCGCCTGCCGTATCGCCTCGGCGCCAGCGACAGTGGGAGCAGCGCGAGGCTGCCGCAGCTTGGCGGCGTCGGCGCGGCCGTACTCCGAGCGAGCGTAGGCGGTGGCCGCCTCTTCGACGGTGTCGAAGGAGCCGAGGAAGACATGCTTGCCGCCAGCCTTCACCTTCGCCTGGAACTTCTTATTGCCGCGGTGGAAAGTCACGCACTTGTACCCAGTCGTGCTGTTCTTGATGACGGCGGGGATTAGCACGAGGCGCTCGGACACTGTGGCACGCGGCGAGTTTGCGCGAGCGGGCGCCATGTGACAAGAATTTACGCGTCAGAATGGATAAAAGAATTTAACCTCCGCACGCACGAAGAGAAAGATCACCTAAAGAAAAGACGGAAGCCTGCGGCGGGTGGGAAGCGGACGACCTGCCGTTGGATCCACGACTCACACTCTCCAGACACGCACCTCGAATTAGCCGCTGCTTCCGCAGTACCTTCCCGCGGGCTGAAGGATGGGGTACGGGTTGGCGAGGAGGAGCTTGCGGGCGAGCCAGCCAGGCGGCGTCGCCAGCACAGCAAGCTCGTCCTCGGCGCAAGCGCGCCGCGCCGCCCACCGGACGAACCAGCCGCCGGCGGCGCACGTGTCGACGGCCGAGCAGTCGCGCGCGCCACCGGCCTCGCGCAGGCGGACGCGGGTCCCGCACCCCGACGCGCGCCACTCCTCGGCGGCGGCGTGGTCGTCGAGCGGCGGCGCGCCGGCGATGCGCGTGTACACGAGCTCAAAGCTCTCGTTGCGCTCTCTCATCCCCTCGAGCATCATCCTCACCTCGAGCGTCGGCAGCGTGTACCGCGTAAACGGCCGGCCGTGGGCGCCGTTGGACCGTTGCACCATAATGTAGCCGATACCGAGGCCGGTGAGCCCGCCGCCGACGCCCATGTTCTTGCCGCGCAGGTTGCGAGCGCGCGCGCCCTGGTGCGTGAATAGCCTCGCCTCGTGCCCAACCGAGTGCAGCGTGTGCCGCACGAGCGGCTCCGGCTCGAACTCGAGCGTCTCGCCTGGGTAGATGGCGTTGAGGAAGCGAGAGGTCGAGCGCTCGACGCGCACGACGCCGCCCGCCAGGTCGCGCAGCGGGCCGAGCGCGCCGTCGGCCGGGCTGCGATGCGCCAGCCAGCGCTGGAGGAGTCCGGTTGGGAGGAAGGCGTGGCTGGAGCCGCCGTGCTGCTTGATGTGCGAGAACATCGTGCAGCCACCCACGTCGATCAGCCCGAGCATGGGCATGCCGAACGCGTAGAAGGCCGCGCCGCCGATCAGCGCCCACGCGAGTGTGCGTCGGGCACGCGGCGGCAGCGCCGGCAGCGCCGGCAGCACCGGCGGCGCCGCCCTTGCCTTGTCGGAAGTGGGAGGCGGCGCGTCGTCATCGAGGACGAGGGTGCGGAGCGTGAGCGCCGCGAGCGCGCTGTAGGCGAGGTTGGCGACGACGCGCTCGCACGAGCCGTGCACCGCGCACACGGTCGCGGTCACGCCCACGACGAGCGCCGCGCCGAGGGCGACGCCGCGCGACTCCTCGCCGCCGTGCAAACTCAAAGCCGCCTCCACCTCTGCCACGGCGCGCACGCTCGCGTGCGGAGTGATCCAGAAGAGGCGCGAGGCGGACAGGGCGCCAAAGTCTGCGATGGAGAGGGGAAGCGGCGCGGCCATGATCCCCAGGTGCAGCGCGAGCGCGAGCGCCACGCCGAGGCGCCACGCCGTCCGCGATGGGCTGAGCAGCAGAATCGGAATGCCGCACTCGACGATGAGCGTAATGTGCGGTGCGGTGGTGGCGACGAGCGAGACGAGCGACGTGGCGAGGAGCGGCTCGGGCAGCCAGCCGCAGAGAATCTGCACGAGCATGAGCGACGAGCACGACAGCCGCGGATCCGAGTGGTCCACATTCGCCTTCCAAAGCCCGCTCGCCGCGTAAAATATTGCCATCTGGATGCGAATCACGTGCGAGATGAAGGCGATGTCGCCGCTCACGAGGATGAGCGCGAGAATGACGGCCGCGTCCGTGTTCATCGCCCACCAGTCCATGTCGACGACCGCAGGCAGATGCCATGCGATGGTGCACCAGTTCATCACGGCGGAGCCAATGAGCGTGGCCTTTGATGGCCGCACGAGAGCGGCGAGGACGAAGGGCGCCTGTAGCGCAATGAAAAGCGTCGGCTCCGGTGGCGACGTGAAGCGGCACAGCTGGTAGAAGGCGTGCACGCGAGCGTAGGCACGCCAAGGGCAGGGCGTCGGCATCTCCCTCCGCGTCACCGTCCAAGGGGCAGGTTTCACTATCTCACCGCCCTCGATGGCCTCGTGCCGTTTGAGTTTTAGGTTTGAGTCGCTCGGGCCCTGTGTCCCTGTTGAGCGGCGCTGAAAATAAAAAGCATCTGCGGAATAAAAAGAATTTTAGAAACAGCTCCTCGCACAACACTAGTGGGACGGCCGCGAGGTGGCATGAAGGTTGCAGCGAGAATCGGCGAGAGACTGCGAAAAGAGATAGGAAGAGGCAGACTCCCTAGGGTGGGCGACGGCTAGCGCATCACACTCCTCTCCTTAAAATCCCTGTGTGGTGGCGGCGTGCCGTCCTCCCATCCCTCCCTTGGGTTGTCTGTTTTCTTTCTTTCTTTCTTTACTGGGCACGGGACTGGCATAAAAAGAAAACAAATCTTCACGGGGGCACGGAAAAGCCCACGATTTAGGCTTGAGCGGGTACGACAGTGCGTAGTGCGGAGTGCTCTAGCGTAGCATCCGCGACGACGACTTCGGCACGAAGCCTCGGCAGCCAGGGCAGGCCGTGTTGATCGGCTCCATGCCGCAGCTCGTCTCGACCTCGCTGTCGTCGTTGAGCCAAGTGTGCAGGCAGCTGTAATGGAAGAGGCTCTTGCAGCAGCGCGTTGCGCCCCAGCCGTTCGGGTCGCGCGGCTGCAGGCGCGCCTCACGGTGTGCGCTGAGGTCGTCGAAGCAAATGGCGCACTCGAGGGCCTCCTCCTCTGCTGCTGTAGCTGCGGACACGCCCGCAACTGCGGCAGCCGCCTCCACCTCCATCTCCGACTCCTCCTCGCTGTCGCTCTCCACCTCTGCCTCCACCTCCACCTCGTCGTCGCATGGCGGGGCAGCACCCGCCGCCGCCTGCGCCGCCGCCGCCGCCGCCGCAGCATCCGCCCTCGCCGCCTGCTCTGCTGCGCGCGCCTGCCACCTCGCCGCCCTCTGCTCGCTCGCGGAAGGCGGCGGGTCGGAGAGCAGCGAGTTAGTCACGGCGTCGGCAGTGTCCGCCGGGTCGAAGCCCTCCTCCTCCTCATAGCTGCTGGCCTCGGAAGGCCCTGCTGCGCCTTGCGGCGGCTGCGGCGGCGGCTCGAGCAGGCGGACGGTCGTGTCCCACAGGTGCCGCGCACGCGCCAGCGCCGCCTCCTCGGCGGTGGCGAAGTTGCCGAGGTGGAGCTGCTTGCCGCCAACCCACACCTTCAGCTGGTACTTCTTGCTGCCTTGCTTCGGGCGGTAGGCCACGCCCTTGTAGCCGCTGTTGCTGCTGCTGCTGGTGGCCAGCGTAAGGCCCTCCCTCTTTGTCTGTCGGACTGCCTCGGCGCCAGCGGCAGAGGAAGGCGCGGGTGGCGGCGGCGGCGGCGGCGGCGGCGGGTAGAGCGCAACCATATCCCTGCCCGCCTCCCTGCGTGCGTAGAAGAGCGCCGCCTCCTCGGCGGTGGCGAAGTAGCCGAGGCTGACCTGCTTGCCGTCAATCCTCACCTGCAGCTTGTACTTCTTGCTGCCGTTCCCCTTCGGGTCGTAGTAGATGCCCTTATAGCCTGTGCTGCTGCTGCTCGTAGCGAGAGTCAGGCCCTCCCTCCCCGCCTGCCGGACTGCCTCGGCGCCAGCGGCAGAGGAAGGCGCAGGCGGCGGCGGCGCGGTGAGATCGCTTGTGTCCCTGCCTGCCTCCCTGCGGGCGTAAGAGAGCGCCGCCTGCTCGGCGGTGGCGAAGCAGCCGAGGGAGACCACTTTGCCGCCAGCACTCACCTGCAGCTTGTACTTCTTGGTGCCTCGCTCATTCGGGCGGTAGCTCACGCCTTTGTAGCCTGTGCTGTTGCTGCTGCTCGTAGCCAGAGTCAGGCCCTCCCTCTCCGCCTGCCGTATCGCCTCGGCGCCAGCGGCAGTGGGAGTAGCGCGAGGCTGCAGCAGCTTAGCGTGGCAGTCCTACTGATGATTAGGTTGAAGTGGAGTAAGCTCCATTGGGCAAGGGGGAAGTTAGGGGGGCGGTGGCGGCGGTGCAGCGGGTGCTACGGTGGCTGAAAGACCAATATATTGGAGAATCTGACCAGTCTCAAGGCTCATGTAGCTCCAAAAGATGATTTTCCCCTCGAAAATGCTGCGAAATGAGGCGTAAAATCAAGGGCCCGGAGGGTCTGACCACGAGTCTCTGGGGGGGTCCTCGGCCACGACCCCCCCCCTAGCATGTGGTGAAGGTGCTGGGGGGGTCGGGACCCCCCCCCTAGCATGTGGTGAAGCCTCTGGGGGGGTCGGACCCCCCCCCCCTTGACGATGATGGAGCGCGTCGTAGTACTGTCCCTTGTGCCCTTTGACCCAGCCTTTACCGGTCGCATGGACGAGCGAGCGGGCCCTGTGACTTGTGGCCGCGCTCTTTGCACCCAAGAACCTTGAGCAAGGTTTGGTCGAGGGTGTTGCCGAAACCAAACTTGTGGCCCAGTGACGCACACCCGCACAGCATCCGCCGTGTGCCGCCGAGCCCTGCCCAGCCTGCCTCGTCTTTGTGAGGGCGCTAGGCACCTTGACTTCGTAGTGGACATCGCGCTGGGACTGTTGTAGCCTGGCGTTTGTGCCCCGTTTGTGTGTGCCGCGTCCCGTGCCCCCGAGTTCATTTTATACTGTCCCGTTTTGCTGTTCACAGCTAGGGACGGCCTCTGCGGCAAAGTCAAATCACCCCCACCACCTCCCACCCACCTCCCTCCCACAGGCAAACCTTCGGCTCCCGCTCAGAGGCTCGCCGCGCCCGTGCGGCGCGCCGAGGCGGCGCCGAGGCCGGCGCCTTGCACCCGGCCCGCGGCCGGCACCGCCTCGCCCCACAACTGACCGCCCTGCGGCCCCTGCGCAGCGTACCACAGCGTCGCTCAAAAAGCGACGCCGGGTGTGGGCTGCTCCCTTGACCCGTCACCCGCCGCGCCCTCGCCCGGCCGCCTCACCGCCCACGGAGGCTGCTCGCCGCCGCCGCCGCGCGTCCCGCGCCGCCACGCATGCCCCTTGCCCTGACGCGCGCGCTCTGCAGCGGCGCAGAGCGCGCGTCCCTGGCACAGACGGAGCAGCGGCCGCGCCAGCGGTCGCTGCTCCGCCCCCCCGTCGCGCGCGCCGCGCGCGCGCTGCCGCCGCCGCCGCCGCCGCCGCCCCCTCCTCGCCGTCTTCCCCACCCTACCCTCTGTTGCGCGCGGCGCGCGCGCCGCGCGCGCGCCGCCGCGCTGCGCGTAGCCCGGTCGAACACTGCCCAAACAAATAAATTCCCCCTTTGAGCTGAGAGCTTTTGGGATTTCGCTCCGAGCGACGGTCCAACGAGAATCGTCAAAATCAGGCAATCAAGAGACCGGTAGCCCCCAGCATGTCGGTGCGTCTTTCTCATGCTCCCGCGCCCCCCGCGCCCGAACTATGCACGGGCCCGGCTCGCCCGCTTGGGGATCCACCCGGCACATCCCCGCCTCCCACCTGCCGGCTTGCCTGCCGTCAGTTCGCCTCGGATCGCCCACAACTGTCAGCAACAGAAATCCAGCAGTTTTTGGGCTGTCAGCCTCGCCTCACAGCCGACCTTCTGGTCGTACGCGGGTTCTTAAGGGTCGTACATGCCCGCCATGACGTCTTCCAACCGGCCGTTCGCAGGCGGTAGCTTCGCACGTCCCCGACAACTCCGAGAATGACCCGCACGAGAAGTGCGCGTCGGCGGCGCACTTTTCCTCCCAGGCTGTGGCTGCTGCCTTGGCCACCCTGGCCTCCCTCGAGGGGTCGCCAGGACCCGCCGCGGCCCTGGCGCGGCCCACGGGCGGCTTTATGCTCATCGACGCCTTCACCCTCGTCGGCCTGGCCGGAAAATACGCCAGCCGCTCGGGTGCCGCCCGCCTCCTAGAGGCCGAACCACCAGTGCTGTGAGTATTGACGCCCTCCCTGCACCTCAGGCGCGTCCCTCGCCCTCGCCGCCGCCGCCGCCGAGCCCGCCGCCGCCCTCGCCGCCGCCGCCCTCGCCGCCGCCACCGTCGCCGCCACCGCCGAGCCCGCCGCCGCCGTCGCCCCCTCTGCCGGCGCCTTCTCCGCCCTCGCCACCCCCACTGTCGCTTTCCCCCCACCAAGCCCACCACCGCCGTCGCCGCCGCCGCCCAGTCCGCCTCCGCGTCACCGCTGCCTCCCTCGCCGCCGCCACCAAGGCCGCGACGGCTGCTGCCGCCGAGCCCGCCGCCGCCATCGCAAC